CCAAAACTAAAATATGACAATATCAGAACCAGAAACAAATGTGATATGGTTCAAAAGACTTGAATAGATTGGCTTTGACAATAGACGCATCCCACTGTAAAATCATGGCGGTTTGATGCTCACTTTTTTGGAAAATCCTTCCCAATATGCATCGCGCAATGACCGGAAGTCCGAGATTCTTGATGTGTCTATGCTCGACATACATCACTCATGCTCCCATATGGCAATTTTCCTTAAACATATAGTACTGTGCAAAAGTTTTAGGCAGGTGTGAAAAAATGCTGTAAACAAAGAATGCTTTCAAAGATATAAATAATGATTGTTTGACATAGGAACTGGGTTTCAGAAAAATGGCAGCAGGTGCTCTGGACTGATGAGTCAAAATTTGAAAGATTTGGCTGTAGCAGAAGGCAGTTTGTTTGTCGAAGTGCTGGAGAGAGGTACAGTGATGAGTGTCTGCAGACAACAGTGAAGCATGGTGGAGGTTCCTTGAAAGTTTGGGGCTGCATTTCTACGAATGGAGTTGAAGATTTGGTCAGGATTAATGATGTTCTCACTGCTGAGAAATACAGGCAGATACTTATCCATCATGCAGTACCATCAAGGACGTATGACTGGCCCCAAATGAATTCTGCAGCAGGACAATGACTCCAAACATACAGCCAAAGTCATTAACAAATAGAAGACCAAGAAGTTCTGGAAGTGATGTTATGGCCCCCACAAAGCTCTGACCTCAACATCATGGAGTGTGTCTGGGATTACATGAAGAGACAGAAGGATGTGAGGAAGGCTACATCCACATCCAGATCTGTGGTTAGTTCTTCAACATGTTTGGAACAACCTTCCAGCCGAGTTCTTTCAAAAACTGTTCGAAGAATTGATGCTCTTTTGAAGGCAAAGGGAGGTCACACCAGATACTGATTTGATTTCCATTTCTCTTTTTTTCATTCACTGCATTTTGTTAATTGATGAAAATAAATGATTAACACTTCCATTTTTGAAGGCATTCCCAGTTTACAGCATTTTTTCACACCTGCCTATAACTTTTTCACAGAACTGTACAAAAAAATGATACAAAACATTATACTACAACTTCACAATCCTGATACAATGCAGTAGTTTCATTCTTCAAGAGCCTATATTACACAGAATTTACTCTTGTGAGCTTTAAATCTCATCAAAAACATAGCTGAAGTTGTGGTTTGTTGTCACACGTCACATCTCCAAAGCTCAAAATACTGTGTTCTACCTTGTGATGTCATGAAGTGTTTCCAGTTTGAGAGAAGAACTTTATAGCCTATACATACATATATACAAGATTTGTGTGTTAAACATGTGCAAATGAACAAAACAGATCAGAAAATAGTGTGACACAGGAATCTGTGTATCATTATTTTCAATTTTGTGTTTAAATGAATAATGGAAAAAACGGATAATGGCTGTTTCCCGTTTATGTGACTTAAACTGCGATGCCGGACTGAACCAGGACTGAACCAGGACTAAACCAGGACTAAAACAGGACTAAACCATTTTCAGTCCTGGTCTGATCCCGGTCTCAGTCCTTGTCTGAGTCCTGGTCTGCTCCTGGTCTGGTCCCGGTCTCAGTCCTGGTCTCAGTCCCGGTCTGGTCCCTGTCTGGTACCGGTCTGGTCCTGGTCTGGTCCCCATCTCAGTCCTGGTCTCAGTTCTGGTCTGGTCCCGGTCTCAGTCCCAGTCTCAGTCCTAGTCTCAGTCCTGGTCTGATCTTGGTCTGATCCTGTTCTGGTCCCGGTCTGGTCCTGGTCTCAATTCTCGTCTCAGTCCTGGTCTAGTCCCGGTTTCAGTGCTGGTCTCAGTCCCGGTCTAAGTCCCGGTCTGGTCCTGGTCTCAGTTCTTGTCTCAGTCCATTTCTAAGTCCCGGTCTGGTCCCAGTCTTATCCCGGTCTGGTCCCAGTCTCAGTTCTGGTCTGGCTCCGGTCTCAGTCCCAGTCTCAGTCCTGGTCTCAGTCCTGATCTTGGTCTGGTCCCGGACTCAGTTCTGGTCTGGTCCCGGTCTAAGTCCTGGTCTCAGTCCTGGTCTCAGTCCTGGTCTCAGTCCTGGTCTCAGTCCTGGTCTGGTTCCGGTACTATCCTGTTTTAATCCTGGTTAAGTCCTGGTTCAGTCCGTATGCGGCACAAAAGTCACGGATTCATTCAAACACATAATCGAAAACTGAAAAAACAAATTGTTATCTCTTTTTTCATTTTGGAGACAAATAATGAAGACATTTTTTTTATTTTTTTTTCATTTTCTTATTTTTGGTTTTATTTTGAAAGACGAATGAACTAATGATACACAGATTTATAGACCCTTTGAACCAGGTCAAATCAGAGCTCAACCAGGTCTAAACTAGGACTATTCCAGGACTATTGGTGAGTCACGCTTTTAACCTCAGATCCAAAGAGAAACCAGGAGACATCATTACTCCCTTTCACCAGCTATAATTTAGACAGCCGTATTTTGAGCTCTATTTCCTCAGACCACACTGACCCTGAATTCAAATACAAATCTGAAGTAGAGATTTTATAACACAGATGTTATCACTGGGGCGGAGTGACCCAAACAAAGTGATGGTAATTTCCTGTTCTTTGGCGGTTTGGAAAATGAAATGTTTTGATAAAGGTCTATTAATCTTGTATGTGTTTAAAATGGAAAACGATCACTATCACTGCATAATGTTATTTGCAATTTTGTGGACATGGCTTTTATAAGTGTACTGTTCCAATTTCTCCTAGTTATTAAACAGAACGTTGAACCCCATTAGTAGGGTTCAACGTTCTGTTTATCGGCGCCATTTTGAGAACTTTTCACCATCCAAATAATAAAATGTTACGTTTTGAATTGTTAATTACTACGGCAACAGTGCTAATTTTCCATCAGTTAGGAAAATATGGGTGGTTTTTAATATATATATTTTTTAATCTAGCATATTTTCAACATTTTTTTTCTATTGCTGTTGTTGTACTTTGGTGTTGCAACACTGAAGTTTTCGATAAAGGTCTATTAATCGTGTATATGTTTAAAATGGAAAACGGTCACTATCACTGCATAATGTTTTTTGTAATTTGCAATTTTGTGGACATGGCTTTTATTAGTGTACTGTTCCACCTTCTCATAGTTATTGTATTAATGGGGCTCAACTTCATTTTTATAGGCGCCATTTTGAGGACTTTTCAATATTCAAATGATGAATGTTTACTTTTGAATTGTTATTTACTATGGCAACTGTCCCATGCCATTAGTTAAGAAAATATGGGTGTTTTTTTGTACTAGGTGTTGTTTATTTGGCATATTTTTAATGCTTTTTTATTCTGTTGTTGTTGTTGTACTTTGGTGTTGCAACATGAAACAAAAAATGAAATGTTTTGATAAAGATCCAATGATTTGGTGGAAAACGATCATTATCACTGCATAATGTTATTTGCAATTTTGTGGACATGGTCTTTATATAAGTGTACTGCTCCAACTTTGATTGATTGGTTGATTGATTAGTTTTTATTTCGAGTTTGTGCCAAGAGAGAAACAGTAGTCATGTATACTACTAGTACTGTCAGGCGATTAAAAAATTGAGAGATTAATTAATTATGATCTGTAATTAATTCATCTAATTAATCTCTTTTTAATCTCACCTATAAATTGCTGAGAAAAGCCTTCAATTTGAGGTATTTTCATTTAAATTCATTATTGCATTATTGTGGCAGATCAAAAGACTGATATAGAACAAAAAAGTGACTTTATAAAGTAATTTATTGTCTAACAAACTTTAACAGATGCAGTCACTTACATTCCACAGTATCATCATTATTATTACTGTTACTAATCTGCATAAATATACTCAACTTTACAACATATAAACCATCACCACTCTAGAGCCACATCAGCCCGTTTGACATTATAATATGTTTAATGCAGTTTTGCACAACTCTCACAGAAACGAAACTTAAAAACCGCATGGCTCATTTGCATAAACTAAGCGAGAAAACAAAACAAAAAAACGCTCTTGTGCGCTGATGTGGTTCAGCTTCTATGGGACTAAAGGACACGACTCAGTAGAATATGATGGTTCTTTCTGTGACAGAGGGATGTTAATCTTGAAGGTGAGTCTGTTCTGTGTCTGTGTCACGATGTTTTCAGAGATCATACATGTGCATGTTTATCGCAGATGCGGCGAAAACGGGAATGAAAATTACAATTCTTTGCGGGAGTGATAAAAACTGATTTTATAATAAGGCAACTCGCACACAGAAACAGTAAAGTTAAAGAGATTAAAAATGAGATTAACGTGATTAAAAAAAACATAACGCGCCAAATATGACTGTAATTAATTAATCGCAATTAACGCGATAACTTGACACCCCTATATACTACATATACATTGTAAACAACAGAAAAGCACATTTCTCAAAAAGGAGTGGGAAGAAGAAAAACTTCCCTCATAGTCCCTCAACTTTCTGTTTATAAGCGTCATTTGAGGACTATTCACCATCCAAATGATCAAATGTTTTGTAGAAAAAAAGATGGCAGAGGCACTATGTGTATTTATTAGTTGTCACGCCAATGTTTTTCGGCTACTTCGTCTTCGTCAAGGCTGATGGAGTGACCAGTAGGTGTTTGATAGGGATCGTGACCCCAGACACTTGATAATTAAAAACTAAATATCCAAAAACACTACATACATGTTGAATCCAAGTATATAGACAACATACCATTCATAACACAACAGATAAAAAACACTGTTCTCAATGGTCCAGGTAGGTTTCATAGTGGTCCATGGGTGTATACTAATCTAAGTGCTCTTCTACTTGTTCTTATACAGCTCAAGATCTTTCTAAAGACATTCAGGAAAGGTTCATTTCTGTCCTATGACTTAGTATCAATACTTCAAATGAGTATTTAGTTTCAACACTAGTTTAAATATCGATTAGTGTCTGATTTTCAATCATTTTGGCCGCTCTAATCTCTATGGTCTGTGTTATTTCAGGTGAAGTGGAGGCAGAGAGCGAGGATGAAGACGACGACGATGATGACTGTAAAAAAGGATCCATGGACGAGGTCAGTGGTACAGCGTCACATTACCTATCAGATGCTGCCACCTAGTGTTCACTTGTGGGAACAGATGAGAATGCATTACTTCTCAATTCAGTGTAAAATCACAACAGCTTTCAGACCGCAGAGCTAAATGTATTTCAGCCACAAAGTAGAATTATAATCTTCATCAAATTGTCAAGGGAAAACTAGACAAAATTTTTTCTGAAAACCTTCTCATAAAATAATATCTAATACATATCCAACTGTAATGTTTTGTGTGTGTGTGTGTGTGTGTGTGTACAGGGCACTGCTGGTAGTGAGGCCTTTGCTACAGAAGAAATGTCCAACCTGGTGATCTACATCCAGCCAGTCAAGTTCAACAGCTTTGAGGCTTCCAAAAGTATGTTGTTATCAAGAGTTTTTACTTTTAAAAACAAGACAATGTGCATCTCTATTAACAATAAATATACAATATTAAAGGTGCATGGTGTAACTTTTCTGATGGAAGGTCTGTCAGATTTGTCAACAATCCTAACCCTAACCCTTGTATTTATTTATTTATTTATTTATTTATCTATCTATCTATTTATTTATTTTTTGTTTATTTATGAGACAGGGACAGTGCCCAGTATAGGCCATTAAAATTCACCTGTAGTCCCTGGTGCATGTTTTTTAAGGTTTTCTCCATAGACACGTTATTGCTTTGTCTGGAATGTTCCACAGTATGGCATTAAACCTGTCTTCATGGGGACCAAACCAGACCAAGTTACAGGTCAGATCTGTGGAGAGGCGACTCCACTCACTGTTACAATGCCTGTTTTTCTAGGGTGAGCTGTAAAACCACCTGTAATTGAATATGTTAGGTGGAGCTGTTTAAAGTCATACTGTGGAACATTCCAGGTAGAGCACTGATATATCCATCAAAACAAGCAGGTGGTGGACCTCCAAACAAAAAGTTACATAGTGCACATTTAATTTTACTATTATTCATATTTTTACAAATATTTAAAGCATTTTAATATAATCTAATGTAATTTTTGAGCATTTGGAATCTCTGAACCCTGGTGGAGGACACACAAAATAACATTGATTTAGAAGATTTTACTTAAAATATTATCAAATAAATAGGACCAGTACACAGATCTCCCTCAGAGTTAAAGGTGCAACTTTTCTGGTGAAGGGTTCATCACCTCTTATCTTCATGGAGTTGTTTTTGCTTTGTCTAGAATGTTCCACAATAGATCTTAAACCTATCAATTCTCAATTGAGACAACAATGGGCTACAGTACAGGTCAGATCTGTGGAGAGGCAACCCTATTCACTGAGAGAGTTATAGTATTTCTGAGCAACAGAAACACCCATAATGAATAATTGATCGATAATTGATCGTGTTTAATATCACACCATGGAACATTCCAGACAAAGTAATAACATTTCCAAGGAGACGAGCAGGTGACAGACCCTCCACTAGAAAAGTTGCACAGTGCACCTTTGTAAGTGTGCCAGGTATGATATTTTAAAAATACACTTCTACAAACTGCTGTATTTTAGAGAGGACCTGTTTTGTCCCGACTCTCAAGAATCACCATTATATGAATCACAGTAGTAGTAGTAGTAGTAGTGGTAGTAGTAGTAGTATCATTTGAAAGTTATTTGCAGCACTACAAAAACATATACTTTATTACATAACATTTATTATTACATACATATGCACAGTTACCATCATATGTAAGAGTATATGATAATGTTTTTCTTGTTTTTCTTTCTAGAGATAAATCGAAGTTTCCAGATGTCTTCCTTCGTAGAAACAAAAGCTCTGGAACAGCTCACCAAGTCCCCTGTGGAGTTTGTGGAGTATCCTTTTCACGTGGATTTTAATGGAGATCAAATACAGTACCGTCATATATCTGTGAGAACAAAACACAGGCGATAGTAGCTGTATACAAAGTCAGTTTTAGTAATACAGGTGAAAAAGGTGCATATTAAAAGTGCTTACTTTTCTTTTTCCGCTACTAGTTTCTGTTACTATGATATAAAATCTATCTTCAGTCAATTACAGATGTTTTTATAGCTGAGAAATACTTGAAAGAAAAGAAAAAGAAACAAAACACATGGTTCTTTACTATAGTGGGCGTCACCTTTTCATAGATCTGACTTTTTTGCAAAAAGACATGGAAACACACACCAGACATGTTACACCGTGCAATTCAGTAAACACACACAAAATCTGATCAAAAATTATTGCGTCTGGTTACTGTAGTGATCGGATTTCCCTGGTCATGTAACTGTACCCATTGTAATCTTTAAATCTAACTGTTCAGATACAACAAGTCTCAGCTGAGCAGGATCTACCCCAAAGGCACCAGAGTGGACTCCTCCAACTACAACCCGCAGCTCTTCTGGAACGCAGGCTGTCAACTGGTGGCTCTCAACTTCCAGACGATTGGTAAGACAATTATGATTAGTCCTTCGTTAGGTTTAAAATTCACAAGAGTCAATTTTGAGTAATACAGGACCTTTAAAAAATCCACCAGTTTATTCAACTCCTAAATCAAAGGTTGACAGAGTTTGTGGTTTGTGTGCAGATCTGTCCATGCAGCTGAACCTGGGCATGTACGAGTACAACGGGAAATGTGGATATCGACTCAAACCAGAGTTTATGAGACGACCAGACAAGAACTTTGACCCCTTCACCGAGAACACCGTGGACGGGATAGTCGCCAATACTTTATCTGTCAAGGTACGAGAGCTTCATCAAACTGCAAAAACATGAACTAAATACTTTTAAAGAACATAAAGACATACTGGGCTTGTGTCATACACGACTCCCGTGGATCATAATGTTTTATTTTACACATTTTAAACGGCAGTATTCATCTAAAACGAAACAACTCTTATGTAACAGATAAATCCAAATCCGCTTTATTTCTATAGCACATTTTTACAAACAAAGCAGTTTCAAGAATGCTGATAGAGCTCATAAAATGAAGACAACAAAAAGGTAAAATTGTTAAAATTTGGTCACACCAGCCCTAAAATGATAAAGCCAGTAAAACCCTATGTCCTCTCAAGCGTCATTCTGGCACTGTTTTCCTTACAACTTCTTGTATACAGCTGAGATATATATTTTATTACTATATTTCTATAGTTAATTTTCTTTGAACATTTTCAAAAAAGGTATGAATGCACAACAAATCGTCTCCATACTCTCAGAACATCTACATTTGACAAAGGTGGAATTTTTTTTTAAAGTAAAATGCAATTTTGTTCTATCTTTTGTTTGTTTGTTACTTTTTTTTGTTAAATGTACATGTCCCGAGAGTATGGAGACTACATGTTGTGCCTTCATACTTTTAAATGTTCAAATAAAATTTACTTTAATTCTAACTCTATATTTTATTTTGACATGTACATGCACATATATATAAAATGATGCCTTATATTTGACATCAGTCTCTTGCTAGTTCTGCTACTGATTTAGAATTTAATATACAATTTCTGTTTGTTATTATAATATGCTGTGAGCTACTGTTTCCCTTGTGGATCAGTAAAGTTTGTCTAAGTCTAATTCCACTCACTTCTGCCACCTGCTTGTCTCCATGTAGATGTTTGCTTTGTTCGGATATTCCATAGTAGGGCATCTGTATCCATGGAGACAAAAACATGTCTTCAAAGGGTTTAGTTACATATCTTACATATCTAATCTGTGGAGACACATGCCAGTCCCCAGTTTATCAAGGTATTTTTTGAGCAATGAAGCATATGTAAGAAAAACAAGTTTAATACGATACTGTGGAACAATCCATGGAGACATTGCATTATAACTAATACATTTTATCTGGACTTTCTCCTCAGCTCTCCTTAACTCTTCTATCATTTATGCTCTGTGTGTTTCTCTTCTCAGATCATATCGGGGCAGTTCTTGTCAGATAAAAAAGTTGGTACATATGTGGAGATTGACATGTTCGGCCTCCCGGTGGACACCAAGAGAAAAGCGTTCAAAACCAAGACGTCCCAGGGCAACGCCATCAACCCAGTGTGGGAGGAGGAGGCCATCGTGTTCAAGAAGGTCAGAAAATACATACATGTCTTACTTTAGCACAAAAAATATTATAACCCAGGAATTCTAAATCATTTTATTTAAAGAGCCATTAAACACCTTCCCGAAGCTTTACTCCGCACATAAGCAAAATCTGAAAAATCCTCCAGAGTGGGCGGTGTCTAGTGGGTTAGGGGGAGCAGGTGTGAGTGGAGTGGGTAAGGGGTGGGCTCTGGAGCAATGATTGAGAGCCGACTGAGTTTTCTCCAGACACGGGGGACATCACGGTGCCCGGCGGTGCCAGGTAGGGGCGGGGCAGAGTGGGACTCTTCACGTCCCGCCCGTGGACACCAGTGGCTGTGCTCATCACGTAATAACCTGCATCTGACTCTTTGGCGGCCCTTTGTCCGACCCGATTTTTAACATATATGCACTAAAATGCCAAAATAAGACCAGGGATAAGATACATTTCTATATTAGATCAATTTACACATAATCTGTTGAAAAAAAATGCTGGTGTTTAGTGACCCTTTCATATACTAAAATTTCAAATGGTTTTCTGTAGTTAATATTAGATGAATTGCTTGGCAAATCATCATTTTTATTATTTGTGTATTTGGTTAAAGGTCCTACAGTATATTACACAAAATTTACTCTTGTGAACTTTAATGTTGTTACCTCCTCGAAAACATACTCTGAGTTGTGTTTTGTTTCATTCACACCTGTTTGAGTAATCCTGGTTTATTAGTCTGTCTGTATCTCTAAAGCTCGAAATGCTCTGCTCCACATTGTGATGTCATGAAGCAGTAGTTTTTAAGTTAACAGCTACATTTTACCTTTATTTCAGTAGAGATTGGCAATTCCAGGGCTGAAATGATCCAAATTATTATAGTGAAGGTGCATGGAGTTAAAACCATATGAGAGCACTTCCTGTAATACCACATGACATCACTAGGTGGACCATAGTATTTTCTGGTTGAGAGAAGAACTCGGGTTTGTGTGTTAAACATGTGTGAATGAAACAAAACACAACTCCAGGTCTGTTTGTGATGAGGAGAACAACATTAATATAGATCAGAAAATAGTGTAATATGGAGCCTTTAATGAACATACATGAAATACACGCTGTAAACATGTCACCTTGAAGTCATGTGCTCTCTGGCTCACTCTCTCATTCATTCACCATTGCACATAGACACTGGAGGCAAGGTGGGTGAAATGTCTTGCCCAAGGACACAATGACTGTATGCACTCTTCCTATGACTGCTTGAATTCACTCATCACACTCATACATCACAAGTACAAACTGCGCTGTTGTCTCTGTCCTGTAGGTGGTGCTGCCCACTCTGGCCTCACTGAGAATAGCAGTGTTTGAAGAAGGAGGAAAGTTCATAGGTCATCGCATCATCCCTGTATCCTCCATCCGTCCAGGTATTCCACTTTTTGTTTTATACAGTGCAATAACGCAACAATATAAGCAAAAACAAATTCATATTGATGAGGAATAATGACTGTTTGCACAATATATCCAAATCTTTAAATAGAAAATCTACTACCTTATTTCACTTTTTTTTAATATATGTTTACTACTTTCTACATTTTGTATACACACAGAAGACATGAAATATATGAAGCAAGATTTATGCATTATGTAGCAAAGAAAATAACTCTGAATGTATATATTTTTAAATTTTTTATATTCAAAGTATTTTTCTCTTTTCTAGACAATTCCATATATCTTGCCTCATTTTTTGATGTTTTCTGTATGTATCTAAACTCTAGAAAGTAGTAACCATATAAAGATTTTTTTTCAAATTTTTATCGATGAGCCTCAGTTGAAATGATTAAACACATATTTGTACTGTGCAGGGTACCGCTACATCAGTCTGAGGAACGAGAAGAACCAGTCTCTGACGCTGCCCGCTCTCTTCGTCTATGTGGAGGTCAAGGACTATGTGCCGGACACTTTTGCAGGTAACGCATCTGTTTCAATGGTATCACTTTTAACAGTGAGTTTTTAGACTAAACATTATTACTGACTGCTCTAAAAATCATAGACCGTATAAAGAGTTGGACTAAGGGAGTGTGACGACAAAGAAGAGAGTGAGAGGATGACAAACAAAAAGGCAGATAGAGAGGGAGAGGTGGGAATAGAGAGAGAACCTAGAATTGGGTAGAGAGAAAAATGAGAAAGAGAGAGATGAGTGGAGAGAAATAATGTATGGTGGTTGCTATGGTGGTTATTATGGTAGTTGCTATGGTGGTTGTTATGGTTATGATTGTCACGGTGGTTGTTATAGTAATTGTCACGGTGGTTGTTATGGTGGTTGCTGTGGTGGTTGTTATGGTGGTTATGGTTGTCACTGTGGTTGTTATGGTGGTTGCTGTGGTGGTTGTTATGGTGGTGGTTCTTATGGTGGTTGCTATGGTGATTGATATGGTGGTTACTATGGTGGTAGTTATGCATAACCACCTTAACAACCACCACCATAACAAGTACAATACAAAACAACCACCATGACAACCACCATCACAACCACCACAACCATAACAACCTCCATATCAACCACCATGACAACCATCATAGCAACCACCATAGCAACCACCATAGTAACCACCATAGCAACCACCATAACAACCACCATAGCAACCACCATGACAAACATCATAGCAACCACCATAGCAACCACCATAGTAACCACCATAGCAATCACCATAACAACCATCATAGCAACCACCATAGCAACCACCATAGTAACCACCATAGCAACCATCATTACAACCATCATAGCAACCACCATAACAACCATCACCATAACTACCACCATATCAACCATCATAACAACCATCATAGCAACCACCATAGCAACCACCATAGTAACCACCATAGCAACTACCATAACAACCATCACTATAACAACCACCATGACAACCACCATCACAACCACCACAACCATAACAACCACCATAGCAACCACCATAGCAACCACCATGACAACCATCATAGTAACCACCATAGCAACCACCATAACAACCACCATAACAACCATCACCATAACAACCACCATATCAACCACCATGACAACCATCATAGCAACCACCATAGCAACCACCATAGCAACCACCATAGCAACCACCATAACAACCACCATAGCAACCACCATGACAAACATCATAGCAACCACCATAGCAACCACCATAGTAACCACCATAGCAATCACCATAACAACCATCATAGCAACCACCATAGCAACCACCATAGTAACCACCATAGCAACCATCATTACAACCATCATAGCAACCACCATAACAACCATCACCATAACAACCACCATATCAACCATCATAACAACCATCATAGCAACCACCATAGCAACCACCATAGTAACCACCATAGCAACTACCATAACAACCATCACTATAACAACCACCATAGCAACCACCAAAACAACCACCACAATAACCACCATAGCAACCACCATTTTTTTTTTTATTGAAAGAAAAAGTAGTGTATACATACAGCAGTGTACAAAGAACTGTGATTAACATTCAAAAATTGTATCGCATAACATGTACAAATAAAATAAATAAAAAGTAAAGTAATAAAAAAGAAAGGAGGGGGAAATAAAAGAAGACAGGAAAGGGGGAAATGCTAAATAGCAACCACCATGACCACCAAAACAACCACTATAACAACCACCATAGCAACCACCAAAACCACCATAGCAACCATCATAGTAACCACCATAGCAACCACCATCACAACCACCACTATAACTTCCACCATAGCAACCACCATGAAAACCACCATAACACCCACCATAACCACCACTACTGTAACTTCCACCATAGCAACCACCATAACAACCATAACAACCACTATAACCATTGTTGTTATGGTGGTTGCTACTGTGGTTGTCATGGTAGTTTTCATGGTGGTTATGGTGGTTGCTATGCTCACTTCCCATTCGGAACGCAGCCGCCAGCAGGTTATACAGTCTATAGAGCATATACTAAATTTCAGGATATCACTCGGCAAACGTGTGGTGTTACTTTTCAGTTAAGTATGTGGCAATCTGTCTGTATCATTGTACCATTCTTATTTGTCAAACACACCAAAGTTTTAAACCACACGGCCCCTCTTTCTGTCTTTGTTTGTTTTCAGATGTGATCGAGGCTCTGTCCAATCCGATTCGCTACGTCAACCTGATGGAGCAGAGAGCCAATCAGCTCGCAGCTCTGACGCTGGAGGAGGGAGGGGAGGAGGAGGGAGACAAGGATGTGAGTGACCCTATGGAAGAGGGGAGGGGGGCAGAGAAGAAGTCAGAGCATTCACCATTCACGCTTGTTTGCACCTTTTTAAACTGTATTTTGAAGCTGATTCAACCTTTATGTAAAAAAGATTGATAAATTGTTGCTAAAGGTCCCATATCACTCTATTTTATGATCTATGTTATGTTTTTCCTCATCAAAAATGTACCTGTGTTTTGTTTCATTCACACATGTTTAACACACAAACCTGCATATTTAGACTGCTTCTACTCTCAATGTGATGTCATGTGGTAATACAGGGAGTGCTCCACTGTGTTTTTAAACTCCACTCATCTTCACTTGAATTATTTAGATCATTTCAGACCTGGAATTTTCAATCCAAAACCAAGGTAAAAGGTAGTTGTTAATTTGAAAACTACCACTTCATGACATCACAAGGTGGAGCAGAGCATTATGGACAAACTAATAATAAAAGATTACTCAAACATGTTTGAATGAAACAAAACACAACTCCAGGCAGCATAATAACATGGCTTAAAGTTCACAAGAGTCAATTTTGTTTAATATAGAAGCTTTATTTTCTTAATTATTTATTGATTGATTGATTGATTAATTTATTTATTCATTATTTGTTAAGGGACAGCACATAATAATGAACCTTTAAAATGTAATTATGTAAAGATTACAGCCAGTGTGGCCTCAGTCCCTCGGCAGGTTGATGTCAAATCATCTACAGGACAGGGAAAAGTACAGCAATAATCACACAGAAGTACATAACACCAGCACACTCACTATACATACAACACACTCACTGTACCCTCACTACACATACAATAGGGATGTAACAATAATCGAAATATCGTGATATCGTATCGTCAAAAGTCTCACAATAATATTGTGGGCTGTCACAATATATATCGAATCTCAAGAGTCTCTGCTTAGATTTATTGTTTTGGTGCAGCAACAGCTAACAAATAGAGAAAACTACATAGACCATGATCCTTTGCTCTGTTTCAGTCTAATCTACATGCTGAAATAACTGTTATGAAGCACTTTAAAATCATAAATTTTTTGTATGACGTGAGAAAAGTAGCATACTCACAATTGTTGTATTACTATTTTTTGCATCCACAACATATCACAATAAATATTGTACCATGAGATGTGGATATCATGAGAATATCGTATCGAGAGTCTAAACTCTGATGAAGACAAACTGGTTGGTCGAAACATGTTGGCTTTGGCCATTTAAATAAAGGCCTTTTAACTATATTTTTATTCGTGCGATTTTTACTTCTTTGGAGGGCCTGGAGTCCGTTGTGTTTTAAGTTTTGATCCTTTTTCCAAGAGCACCCTCTACCTGCTCCTACTGATTGGAACAGCAGCAAACAGGCACATTTTTGTTCTTTCTATCATATCGAGAGGGTTGAATATTGTTACATCCCTAACATACAATTCATTTCAGACAGTTCATTTGAAGTTCAAAGTCAAGCGTTAAAGATTTAAACCAACAACCCGTCAATATAAAAAATGTAATTTGGTTAAACATGGCAACATATTTGACCATTGAACAACCACTCAAATTCTCGTACATGAGCTCCACTGTTCTACATGTTTGACCTGCTCCAAAAGCATAAGAGTCTGTCCAAAAGCAGAGGTGGAGCAAGATCATTAAAAACTGTATACCAAAATTAAATCTGCATATTTGATTGTGTTGTCCCAATTAAGAAATGTGTATTTGTCGATTTTTCTGCAAGAGTAATAATTAGTGGGCTTTTTGTCTAATACTTTAATTGTTTTTATAGATAGTTTCAGCTAATTTAATTTTCACATGGACACAACCTATACTCACACTACATTTCACACTTCACATCCCTGCAGTTTATAAGAGATTAAAGGGGAGGGTGAAGGAGGAGCGGAGGTGTCAGGAGGGCGTGTCTGTGTCCAACATGATTTAAAGTCGTATTAACCTTTAAGAGATAAGAACACAGAGGAGCTGAGTCTGAACTCTGAAGGGAAATTAAGTCTTTACTCCAGAGAGAGGAGAGACGGGAGGAGAGGAAAGAGGTGAGGAGAGGAGAGAGGAGAGGAGGCCATGTTGAGGCTGGGGTACCACAGTTATGTCTACAGGCTTTACAGCACTGATCAGGTAATAAACTACAACCGAGATTTACTGTAGAGTGTCCTGGGAAATCATTATGTGTGGATTTGTCTTATTAAAATGTTATTTTTTTGCCTGGAATGTTCTCTAATATGAAGTACAAAAAGTCTTATTCTATCAATAAATAATTTTAAAATTTACTCATATCAAGACAACATTTTTATAATTCAAGTAATTTTAACTTTTGTTTGTTTGAGATGCTACAAGCTTTTTACAACACATGTGGCAGCAAATGTGGAATAAGACCTTCCAGAGAAAATACTTCGAGACCTTCTAGAGGAAATACTTTAAAGGGAATGAACACAAGGGACTGAAGGATTGTGTGAAGAGAATGGTTTGTTTTTCCTATATCCATTTAAAAAGTGTGAAGAATCCCTCAATTGTCCAGGTAGAATCCATGGTGAGGAGAAAATTCAGTTTGTCAACTGGACAAAAGTTTCGCAGCTCACCCAAGCTGCTTCTGACCAGAACTGAAAAAGCAGCTTGGATGAGCTGTGAAACATCTTCAACCAAATTAACTTTTGTCCAGTCAACAAACTGAATTTTCTCCATTTAAAGGGAGCTAGCTATGGACCTTTGAGATGCTACAGTTTTTTTTTTTATACCGTATGTGGCATCAAATGTGGCAGAACATACTCAGAGACCTTCAAGAGGAAATACTTTGAAGGTAATGAACCGTTTTATCACCAACCGAAACACCAGAGCGGAGTAAGAACGAGGCCTTTCCTGTTGTGTTCACCTGGCGCCCCCTGGAGGCTGCTGTGAGGCTGCTGGACACAGAGGAGAGACACTTTTGGCTTTTCCTCTTCTCAAACTGCCCTGACACAGATCTGCAGACCCTCTCTGACCAGTCCTCCTGTTCAACTGAGACTGAGAGATAAAGGCGACTGAGAAGTGCAGTATAAATATTGCTTGCAGCAAAACTTGAAACTTCCTCAGTATCAATAAAATATTTCTCGCTCTCTCATTCTAAAAGAGCTTTTAAAACGATCATTTGGATATCGGAATCAGTGTAGAGTATTGAGTCTATGCTTCAATACTGATTTTAGTATCGTCACAACACTATTCCCTGCACAGGTGGAGGTTTATTTGTATTTATACATTCCATTCTTATGTGTTTGTCTGTTTCTTGGTTCAGGTGGAGGTTTATATTTATTCTTATGTATATTTCCTGGTTTAGGTGGAGGCATATTCACTGTCATGTATATTTTCTGGGGCACAGGTGGAGCTGTATTCATTCTTATGCATGTTTCCTTTTGTAGGGATGGAGGTGTATTCATACTTAGATACTTGTATGTTTCTTGGTGCACAGGTGGAGGTTTATTTTTATTTACATACTTGTGTGTTTCTTGGTGTTCAGGTGGAGGTTTATTTCTTCTTACATACTTGTGTGTTTCTTGGTGTACAGGTGGAGGTTTATTTCTTCTTACATACTTGTGTGTTTCTTGGTGTACAGGTGGAGGTTTATTCATTCTTATGTACTTGAGTGTGTAGTATTCGTTCTTATGTACTTGTGTGTTTCTTGGTGCACAGGTGGAGGCGGGCAGTGACGCTCCCTGTGAGTCGAAGGTGGACTCTCGGGTTTCGTTACCCGCAGAGAACGGTCTGAGCCACACGCCCATCATCGCCCCCAAACCTCCGTCACTGGGAGGGCACCAGCCACAGCCTGCAGGTAACCCACACCTGTCCACATGGCTCCAGCTTCAATCTTACACTTTAGGTCCTTGTAGGAGTGTTAGTGAAATGTAAACTGTTGGTTTTATAAGACTGAACTTTACTTACCGTATTTTCCGGGCTATTAGACGCGCTCTTAACCCTCTAACTCTATCAAAAAACAACCGCGCGCCCCGCAATCCAGAGCGCCCCATACACGAATCCACTCGTGTGTCCCATTACGACTTCAGTGAACTACAAAGCCGCACCACCCGCAGCGCACGCAAACACACACAGAGCAGACAGCGACCGCACAGCGAAAAACACCCACACTCCACGCCGACGAGGAACGGAACGGAGGAACGAACCAAAAAAACAAATGCAGTGTACCACTCTGAGCCACAACTGAACAACTGAGTCACTGCGAACACGCCGACAATCCATCGGTCCCAGACAGCACCCTCCCTACACGCCACAACTGAACAAAGCCCAGAGTCACCGTGAACGCGCCAAACAAACAAAACCACTCACCCATCACACTGTTGTGTTTCCTTTAAAGTCCGGTGCGGTTTATTTGTGACAAAAGTTCAAAAATAGACCATTTAATGACAGTGCACCTTATAATCCTAATAGCCCGGAAAATATGATATTTTAACACAGAACATTTATATGTCTAAACTATTAAAGATTACCACTTCTCACTACAAAAATATATTAACATTCCAGTTCATTCTTAGACTATGTAACTATGTAACAATATCCAAATCTCTCAGTACGATATTATATGTATCTCTTAGTATGATATTGATTGAAATTTTTTGGAGAGGTTAATATAATTGTAGATAGGACACTTTTTTGGTTTTAAAATACCATGACAAGATTTTGGGGCGAATTATTACTGTCATAATCCTAAGAATTCAAGTAAAAAACATATTTCTTCATGTCTACGCTGAAATGAATCATGGGATATGTAGTTCCCTATGTTTATAAGCTGTTGCTACTATAAAACAATACATTTAAGCAAAGGAACTTCTAATTGGATATACTGTGACAATGGACTATATTATTGAGAGACTTTTGACAATACGACCATATTTTCATCATATTTTGTTTTTTGTTACATCCCTCATCCTTGAGCAAGACACGACACCCATTTTGCCAAAGTATGAATGTAGCCAGAGAGGCCAGTGGCACAGTTGTGGGCAGTTGTGGCTACAGTAGTATGGAGTGAAGGAAAACTGTACACTCACTAGCAAGGACCACACCAGCAACAACATAGTGCAAAGAAGAAGTTTATTGATAATGTACGAGGCGGAGATAGCTGGGTTAAGACTGTGGGTGGGGGCTCCATCTCATTTCAATCTGCAGTTGGCCCAGCCGGAACGGGACCCCCCTCGTAGGCGTCTTATGGCTGAAAGACGAACACGATAGGGGGTGGGCAAGTGAGGTCGACTTAGCTGAGACAAAGTGGGATGATGGGAAAGGCTGCTACAAATAGGCTTCTGGGAAATTAGAGGTGTGGTCAAAGTGCGTTGTGGCCTGCTGATGATGAGGAAGAGAGGCGGTCGGGGCACGGTCCTGCTCCTGAATCTCAGTTAATCATATTAACTCCACAAATTGTAAAGCAACTCATGAAACAAACACACTATATTTGTCTACATGTGTGAAAAAAATGCCCAAAAGTTGAATAAAGTGATTTTCTGGTGATTGACACAGTTCTATTTTTACTTGTAGGCTCTTTGAAGCCCGCTGTGAAGACTGAAGACATCATCCAGAGCGTCCTTACAGGTAAAGATATGCTGTCTGTTATATTTGCAGATAGCAGTAGCAGCAATGATAATAAAAAACACTCTTTCTTTAGACAATAGAATGTCATTTTTGTAGAACTTTATTTTCTATTCCCATGTGTTCATATATGTGTGTAATCCCTCAGTGGTCCAGAGGGGTTCCATAGTGATCCTTGGGCGTATAGGCGAGTTTCATTGTTGACAAAAGCGCGCTTTGCATGCTGGGAATTATTTTGGTCGGTGGCAAGAAGCACTAATTGAACATGACGGATGGAGCGAGAAAGCACGTAAAGGGTATTGATCCCAGTTATTTATCCACTCTAACGGCAGAGGACCCAAGAGCATTTGACCAGAAATTGGTCATAAGCATCGATGGAGCCAAATCACCCTTTTCAACCCCGACAGAAGGTGGACCAAACCAAATTTCTGGTCAGAATCACCAACTACCTGGACAAATATTCACTTGGGCGATATCCACAATGACTTGGTGGAAACTCCTGGGCCATTCACAGCAGAAAAGATGAAAACCTCCAAGAGTCTCGATGTGTTGTTGAACTTGTTGGAGTCCACGGTTTGTTAGGATCTTCTACGTTTGCTTTACGAATGTTTGAAAGCCATTTAATTCACCGTTAGTGGTTCTTTTCACTCAGAATACGAAAAAGACATTTTCCTTCTTCCGTGCTTCTATTTGTGCATTTGATAATGCAGCAGGAATTTACCATTATCAGGGATAAATACGTGAGGTTACGCACTGTGTTTGATCGCTATCCTGTTTCTTGCCTCCGACCAAAATATTTCCCAGCATGCAACGCAGGCTTTTAATAACAATTACGTCAGTTGAAACTCACCTATACTAGTCTATGTGCTCTTATACTTCTTCTGATCCAGCTCAAGATCATTCTAAAGCTATTCAGGAAAGGTTAATTTCTGTCCTTTCAATGTGACTTTTTTCGTATCAATACCTGCTCCAAAAAAACAAAAACAAATCAGGTCTCAATATTAGTTTTAGTATCGATTAGTGCCTGATTTTTTTCTACTTTTGACAACCATTGTAGTTAATAGTAGGTTCACTGATGATTGGGATCTGATAGTTGATTTTGTCTCTTCTCCTCTTTGTATCCGTCAGAGTTGGAGGCTCAGAGTCTGGAGGAGCTCAAGCAGCAGAAGGCGTTCGTCCGTGAGCAGAGGAAACAGTACAAAGAGATGAAGGAACTGGTCCGAAAACACCACCGAAAAACCACTGAGCTCATCAAGGAACACTCAGCTCGAGTTTCAGAGCTGCAGAGCCAACAGCAGAGGAGGAGGTCTGCCCTGCTCAAGAGCCACAAGAGAGAAGGCAAGAAGAGGTAAGAAAAACAAAAGGGAGGGGTAAGAAGAGAAAGGGAGCTGCAAGAAGAGTAACTGAAATCATAGTCACTAAATATACAAAGAGATTTACATTTGTTGTGTGCAGTCGGTCGGAGCAGTCTCTGTCGACGCTGGACCAGGAGCTGTCAGACCTGGAGCAGGAGTGTCACCAGAGACTGAGCGAACTCAAGGAGCAACAACAGCAACAGCTGCTCACACTGAGACAGGAGCAGTACTACAGCGAGAAGTACCAGAAGAGAGAGCACATCAAGCAGGTACACAACAAATAATATATAAAAAGAATATAACAATTTTAAGCACATAAAGAAGCAATATAAAGAAAAAACAACACATTAAGACAGGAGCAGTGCTATAGTGAGAAGTACTGGAAGAGAGAGCACATCAAACACGTACACAATTAACTGTAAACAAACAAAAACTACACACTGAGACAGGAGCAGTACTACAGCGAGAAGTACCAGAAGAAGGAGCACATCAAGCACGTACACAATAGACAAACATATAAAGAATATAATAAAACACTATAAAACAATATAAATAAGCAATATACAGAAAAAATGGCAAACTGAGACAGGAGCAGTACTACAGCGAGAAGTATCAGAAGAAGGAGCACGTCAAACAGGTACAATATAAACTGTAAACAAATAAATAAACAAAAACTACACACTGAGGTCATTTTCATAAATGTTCCTGCGCTCTCTGGACTGACCCTAGTGACACTAGATTTAGTTCTGGTTATGTCACTTTTGGTTTCAAGTTCTCAGACTGGATGTTTATTGTGAATCAGAATGTACTTCAACATGTCAAACTCAGGCCCTGGGGCCAAATTTGGTCCGTGATGTAATTATATTTGGCCTGCGAGATCATATCAAATATGTATTAGAGCTGCCTGTCGGATACAGATAGACTATAGAGACATGATTTATTTAAAAAGTTGTGTTATTATTTTATATGATGCTTGTTCTGGATTCAGTGTTTAAGGAAAATGATTATTAAACATTTATTTTAATAAGAACAGGTTTAACATTGCATGTCTCGAAAGAAGAGAAAACATGCAGATGTTGTTGAAATTTTTCAGTAAATATTTAGTTTGGCCCACAACTTAGTCCCAGATTTTAATTTTGCCCCTCTGTGAATTTGAGTTTGACGCTCCTACCTTTAGCTATAATGCAGGATAGACATTTCATGATTCAATATTTTAGACTATATAATAATTAAATGTGGGGTGCAAAATACAATATAACATACTGTATAAGTGTACCTCCTCCGCTCTGCTGAACTCTGTGGAAAATCTGTGTCACTTCAGCTGTAAAATGAGCATCGCTGAATCAGGAGTCACTGAACCAAAAGACGGCAGGTGCAGACAGGTGCTGTTTACCTGTCTTAACAAAGTGATGCAAGCAAGATGTCAATCATTCATCTTTGAATTCGTAATTATAATTTAGCAACTAGACTTGTAAATTCCTGGTTATTCGTCTGTTTAACAAGTCACTGATTTTAAACCAGTACTCAGAGAACATGAGTGTGCCTTGAGGGATTACCAGGTGTTCCTTGGAAAAATGTCCTATTTCAATTAAAGAGGGAGTATTATACAAAATCAAACTTTCTACCATGTTATAACGTGTTGTTCCCTCATCAAAAACATGCCTGAAGAGTGAATTTACTGTTAGTAGTTCGCTTCTGTCCGGTGTTCAGCCCACAAGAAATTCTAAAAACACGTCCTGCAGATTGATTAGTGAACCATGTATCTGACCAAAACTCCATAGAAGTTCATGCAAAAAGAACTATTTACTTTATACTGAAAAGTACAAGAAAATTCTGTATTTTTTTAAGGAAAGTAAGGCAGATTAAATTCATGATTCACTTCCAAATTTTCAGCTAACATATTACACACACAGCTACTGATTCTGCAACTTATAAATCCCTAAAATCAAAATCATGAAGTAACATTTTGATCGACCAAGTCACCGTTGATTAATTAAAAGTCCTGTATTATGCAAAATCTGCTCTTTTAAGATTTATACCATCATATAATGTCGTTGACTCCTCAAAAAATACCTGAAGTGTTTTGATTCATTCACACAAGTTTGAGTAATTCTTTATGATTAGTCTGTCTACATCTCCAGAGCTTAAAATGTTTTGTTCCACCTTGTGATGTCATGAAGTAGTAGTTTTCAAGTTAATATCTCCTTTTACCTTTTGTTCAGTAGAGATTGGCAATTCCAGGGCTCAAATGATCCAAATGATTCTAGTGAAGGTGTATGAAGTTCTGTGGTAATATTATATTATTACCAAATGACATCACAAGGTGGAACAGAGTGTTATCAGGGGTTTGTGTGTTAAACATGTGTGAATGAAACAAAACACAACTCCAGGTCTGTTTGTGATGAGGAAACAACACAACATAGACACATAATATAGATCAGAAAATAACGTAATATGGGCCCTTTAAGTTACTAAATGACTTCAGTCCTACACATTATTTACACTTTTTTGCTCAAACCTGTGTAAGTGTAAGACAAGTCAAAAAAGGCTGAAAAACACTGTTGTAATTAATGTTTTGGGCTTTTTGTTTTCACAGCTGGTGGAGAAGCTGAACACCATCGCAGAGGAATGTCAGAACGCACAACTCAAGAAGATACGAGACCTGTGTGAAAAGTAAGCTCTTCTCACTATTTAAAAGGCCAGTGTCATAAATAGTACAACTTCATTTGATATATTCTTATTATATATGTAGTATTTACTTTTAAAGCCACACTGTAGCTTTCCTGAGCCTGGTCACTGCAACAACGCATGTGTTTTTCAGTGCAAGAAATGTTTTAAATGAAAAGCAACCAACAAATAAAATAAAATACTTTAACTTTGGTATATTGGCTAAAAAAATCACTGAAAGATTATTTTGGCTGCTTTCAAAGTACTGTATTTTTTGTGTTTAAAGGGTTCATACTACACTATTTTCTGATCCATGTTATAATAATGTTGTTTTTCCTCATCAAAAACATATCTGGAGTTTTGTTTTGTTGCATTCACACATGTTTAACACACAAATCCTGCATATTTAGGATGAGTTCTTCTCTCAAAATGCTCTGTTCCACCTTGTGATGTCATCATGTGGTAATAGAATCATGTGCTCCTAGAATCATTTGGATAATTTCAGATCTGGAATTGACAATCTCTACTGAACAAAAAGTCAAATGTAGTTGTTAACTTGAAAACTACCACTTCATGACATCACAGGGTGGAACGGAGCATTTTGAGCTTTGGAGACGTAGACAGAATAAAGAATTAGTTAAATATGTGGGAATGAACCAGTCAGCCAATAGAAAAGTGTTAGTTTCTGTTTTTCTCCCCATTACACAAAGTATATTTAGTAGTAGCATTTAGTTGTAGTATTTTAGTATTAATTTAGTAAGTAGATTATTCATAACCAGTTAAAACTCTTTGAAATGTTGCTTTATTTTTAAATTGACCACGTGTTTCGAAATTAATTGTATTCGTACGTTTACATTTTGTTTGTGTGTCCCGACTGCAGAGAGAAGAAAGAACTCAAGAAAAAGATGGACAAGAAGAGACAAGAAAAGATCAACGAAGCCAAAACTAAAGACAAAAACGTCACTGAAGAGTAAGTGTGTTCAATGACATACAGTACTGTACATATAACAGGAGGGGTGTAGTTTTATTATTGGCCACCAGATGTCAGTAAATAAAAAGTAATAATGTACTGATGGGTCTGCCTTCCTGTGCCCCACACAGAGAGAAGCTGGAGATCAACCGGTCTTTTGTGAACGAAGTGGTGCAGTATATTAAAAGGGTAAGAAGCAAAAATGACAACAGCTATACATAAATGAACAGATCTAAACCAAGACTGAACCAGATCAACAAGACACAGTGCATGAGACCACATCAAAATTGGTAATAAAAAGAGACTAAACACAGCACTAAACCTGAACTAAACCAGGACTAGAACAGGACCAGTCCAAGTCTGCTGGTACATCAGGATCAGGATCAAACCAGGACTAAATCAGAGCCAGTTCTGGATAAAGATCTTTACCAAACCAGACTAACAAACTAAATAAGGTCTAAAGCAAGACTAAACTAGGGCTAGGTCTAAAGAAGCAGCAAAGCAAGTCTAAAAGTAACTGAAGCAGAACTTAATCAGGACTAACCAAGGTCTAAACTATAAAAAGGATTAATCCAGGATTTAAAGGTTGTATAGAGGATTTTTTAAGGGAAGAGAAATACAGCGACAGTCCTTTTTCAAATGTTGTGCCTGCGTGACACCACCTTCCTCCTCCACAGCTCCCTCAGTAGAAACATCTCCTCCCACCTCCTTAATCTAGAAATCACGCTTGTTTACAGCCCGTGTGCGTTCAAAATTACTGTTGAAGTGACGTGTCTAGAAATAATTTAGCGACCGACGCGTCAGTTTTTAAACCCTCTGTCTGCTTCAGTCGCGCCATCACCAGAAGAGATCTCCAAGAATCACCTCAGTTTGTCTTCGCTCCTTTTCCCCTTCTCTTCTTCTTTCAACGACCTCAAAAACGGACTTTGTTTTGCGGTGAACTGGTCGTGGATTCTCGTCCGCCGTCTCAACAAACTTTGTGCGAACTGCGAGGAAGCGACAGTTTAAAAAAGCTTCTAAGAAGCGCTGCATAAACCACGTAATCCCCGCACGCCGGCGAGTCAATTACACTGGAAACGTAGGAAGTTTGATTGACAACCTAACAGCCAATAGAAAATGAGGCAGCCTTGTTATCTATTGGCTGATGTTTATCTGGCCTCACTACGTCCACAGTTGATAGATTTTCACTCTTTTTTTTTTTTTGGTCATCATAATTACAAGGCTGCTGCATCTCTGTAATTGTCTTTTAAAATTTCACTGACAATTTGAAACTAAAAAAAAAAAAAATCCTCCATACAACCTTTAACTATGAACTGGTTTATACAAGACAAAAAACAGGACTAAACAAAGACTAAACCAGGTGTCCACCATGACCTGGTCTATACTAGAACTAAACCAGGACTAAATGAGGACCAGCCAAAGTCTACATTTATAATAACAGTTCATCAATTTCCAAACTAGTGATGGATCTAAACTGGACTAAAGTGTGGACTATTTCTAAACCATGAGCTGGTCTATACAAGAACTAAACCAGGTCTAGACTTGGTCCAGATCTAAACAAGAACCTAACCAGATCTAAACATGTCTAAGGACTATTCCAAAACTAAACCAGGTCCAAACCAGGATTATTTATTGCCCAGAGCTTAAACATACTCCATACCAGTGCGAGGGATCAAATACAAGACCAGTCAAAAGTTTGGACACACGTTTTCTTTTATGATCCTTTGTTATTTTAGATTTTATTTGTATTATTTACATAGAACATTCTCACTGAAACCATGACACATATGGACGGTAGAAAACTAAAAATATAAACTTAAAATAAAAACAACCACCCTTTGCTTTGCAGTTTTGGCATTTCTTGATGCTGACAGGGACAAGTGTGAAGTGAAAAACATTTCAAGCCAAGCAAAGGGTGGATATTTTGAGAAATCTGAATCTAAAATATGCACAATATTTTGTTAAGTTATTTCACTTTTTTCATCTCTTATTTGATGTCATCTGTATGTCTCTTAAATGTAGAAAGTAGAAAACAGAAAAAAACACTGACTTTTTGGAGCTTTCTACCATGTTAAAACGCTCCCTGATGTTTAAAAAAAAAAAAAAAACATGTCTGAAGATGTTTTAGATGTTAGATGTCATGTTTAGATGTTTAGATGCTTGTTTAAGGCATTTAGTGATCTCTGTAGCTGTAGCTGACCACAAGCTTACACCACCCATGCTCCCACACGACAATCCTCCAGAAATATACTAAAGCATCACACAAAACAATACACTACAACTTCACAAACCTGATGCGATGGCAGTAGTTTCATGAGCAGAACATACGCCCATTGAGATGTGATAGCGTTCAAAAACAAAAGTGAAACTTGTAAAACATCTTAATACTTGTTTTTAGCGAATATAGTATTTTCAAAACCATAAAAGGTGACATGACGATCTAAATATGTTATGTGTGAGCAGTTAATACCCCATAAAAGCAAAATAACCTCTCTTTAAATCTAACCTCTAATTGATTCTTTTGTGTTGTGTGTGTGCAGTTGGAGGACGCCCAGAGTAAGAGACACGAGAGACTACTGGAGAAACACAAGGACATAAGACAGCAGATTCTGGACGAGAGGCCAAAGGTACGTCCCCATAACAGAAGACCTGCTTTGGATAAAACACTCGAGTTTAAACTGTTCATCTTGATTTCAGTGGACGTTCTTAGTTGCAAAAAACAATATCAAGAGCAGCTGAAATAACTTGAATTAATCTTGATTTGAGTGGATTTGATTTCATGATAAAATGATCTGAATGTGTGTACTTAAAGGTGCATTGTGTAACTTTTCCGGTGGAGGGTTCGTCAAATGTTTTATTTTGTTCCATGGAGATGTTATTTCTTTGTCTGGAAAGTTTCACAGTATGGCATTAAACCTTTCTATCTTCATGAAAACCAAACTAGACAAAGTTACAGGTCAGATCTGTGGAGAGGCAAGACAGAGGAATGACATCTCCATAGAAACAGTTACAGTATTTTCCGCACTATTAGGCACTCTGGATTATAAGGCACTCTGTCATTAAATGATCTCTTTTCGAACTTTTTTCACAAATAAAACGAAACACAACAGTGTGATGGGTGAGTGGTTTTGTTTGTTTGTGGCGTTCACAGTGACTCTGGACTTTGTTCAGTTGTGGCGTGTAGGGAGGGTGCTGTCTGGTACCAACGGATTGTCGGCGTGTTCGCAGTGACTCAGTTGTTCAGTTGTGTCTAGAAGTGGCACATTGCACTCGCTTTTTCGGTTCGTTCCTCCGTTCCGTTCCTCGTCGGCGTGGAGTGATGAGTGTGGCTGCAGGGTGTGTTTCGCTGTGCGGTCGCTGTCTGCTCCGTGTGTGTTTGCGTGCGCTGCGGGTGGTGCGGCTTTGTATTTTACTGAAGTCGTGCTGGGACACCCGAGTGGATTCGTGTATAGGGTGCTCTGGATTGTGGGGCTCGCAGTCGTTTTTTGATGGGGTTAGAGGCTTAAGAGTGCGTCTAATAGCCCGGAAAACATGGTACTTAAAGGTGCATTGTGTAACTTTTCTGGTGGAGGGTTCGTCAAATGCTTCATTTTGTTTGATGGAGATGTTATTGCTTTATTTAGAAAGTTTCACAGTATGGGTTTAAACCTTTCTATCTTCATGGAAACCAAACTAGACAAAGTTACAGGTCAGATCTGTGGAGAGGCAAGAAGGAGGAATGACATCTCCATAGAAACAAGTAGGTGACAGACCCTCCACTAGAAAAGTTACACAGTGCACCTCTAAAATAAAATAAAATAAAATAAAATAAAAATAAAATAAAATAAAATAAAATAAAAAATAAAATAAAATAAAATAAAATAAAATAAAATAAAATAAATAAAATAAAATAAAATAAAATAAAATAAAATAAAATAAAATAAAATAAAATAAAATAAAATAAAATAAATAATTAACTATTAAAATTACACTTTAACTCACTGCTTTTAAAATAAGAAAAAAAATGTAATCAAATCCACTTAAATCTAGAAAATATGTTACTAATTCAAGTAATTCAGTGTTACTATTTAGCAAAACTATCTGCCAGTGTCGTACAGTATTTCATCATATTTGAAGTGCTTATTGCAGAAAATGTAGATTTCTTTCAAATACGACACATTTAAACTAAAGCCCCAACTGCGATTTCAATCCTCAATACAAAAAGCAAACTCATTTTTCACCACTAGGGGGCAGCCTGAGCCAGTTTTCGTCGCAAACATTGTGTAACCTCTGCACAATAGACCCTCTTCAGTCATGTCCTCCTTTCACAAACCTCCATTCATTCTGTCACCAAGCAAATGAGTTTACGGAGTTCATTTCACTTGTTTATTCACGTTATCTGTTGACAATAATATATGGATCATTTTGCACCTGGGGAGTTTGGTAAGATGTGAAAGCGGCGTCACAATTACGGCCTTACGTAACATGAGACATAACACAGATTCACAATGGCATTATTAATATGAGAGTCTGTCCACACCTGATCCACTCACACGGAGCAAGTCCAGTCTGCGGAAAAGAACCAGCGACACGAGAACAATGATCTGAATCCAGAATATTCATCTTTAAATTCATTGTTTTTTTTACTACTGATACTTTGCTGCCGGTTTTATCAATATTTTCTGGGGATGTGCAGCTACATGGAGGCACTGCTCTGTCTGAAGCTCTGTTAGACTTTAATCTGAGCTCTGTTGATCAGATTTGTGCTCTTAAACAAAATTATAGTTAAAAGCTAATCAAAAGTTTTTTCAGTTACTTTCACCGTTCACCTTTTAATGTTGTTACCTCCTCAAAAACATACCCGGAGTTATGTTTTCTTTCATTCACACACGTTTGAGTAATGCTTTATTATCAGTCTGTCTACATTTCCTAAGCTCCAAATGCTCTGTTCCACCTTGTGATGTCATGAAGTGGTAGTTTTCGAGTTGACAGACACCTTTTACCTTTATTCCTAGGTTGAAATTTTGTGCGTACTTTATCATTATTATTAGTTTGTACGACCATAAACGAAAACAAAAAAATACTTCATACTTCATGCTCATTGTGGTTTATTTGTACGATCATAAACGATCAACTTTTGTGGCTTTGTTAACGTTATTATTAGTTTATACGATTATAAACGGGAAAAAGTCATCTTTAAAGGAATTGTTCAGAATTTTGGACATAGGGCCTCATTTCCTAGTGAGCCAGAGTGTTGGAGACGTGTGGAGACACTTTTTAAATATTCCATCCAGCGTAATAATAGATTTGTTTCGGGTGTTTTGTGGAGTGGGTAAGACTGTTTTTAGTGGCAGGATAACTATGGTCATTGACATGCACTAGTCTAGCACCAGTGACCTCTGCAAATACAAGGACTGGATGGAATTTTTTTTTTAAAAGTGTGTGTCTCCACATGTCTCCAACACTCTGGCTCACTAGGAAATGAGGTCCTATGTCCAAAATTCTGAACTGTCCCTTTAAAAAAAAAATGAAGATAAGGACTAAGAAAAAAAGTGATTGTGTTTCTGTTCGAGGGGTTAGTGTGTGAAACAATTTGAGTGATGATTTTAAAAAAGTCTAACAGTGTAGAAGCCTTTAAAATAAAAGAGTATAAAGCATTATGTTTTGAAAGATATAGAGCTCTGGAATGAATGAATTATGCATTAAATATTGTTTGTTTTAATTTATATTTTGTCTCATATATACAGTAAATCACAAGTGAAATTGTAAATGCAAACTTTCTGTTCATATGCTGCTTTCCAGAGGTGGGGATTTGCAAGTTATGACTTGGACTCGAGTCAGACTTGAGTCACTATTTTTAGGACTTGAGACTTGACTTGATAAAATGGACAAAGACTTGGGACTCGACTTGGACTTGAACCTCAGTGACTTGGGACTTGACTTGGACTTTAGGCATGTGACTTGAGAAGACTTTATGCTTCTCCTAAAAAAATATATGTTTTTAGAAAATACTTTTCTCTTTGCAGTTGATAAATGCAGTGCTGTGATCTGGTATCCTCAAGTGTACTACAGTAAAACACAATATTATACAGGAATATACAGTACAATACAGTAAAACTACAGGGAGGGAACTACACAGAACTACATGAGAAAATAACTCTTATTTAGCACTTTTAAATCTGAATTCTTTCCATTCTGACTATAATGATTCACACTAAGATTTTGTCAAGACAAGGCAGTCAAGTCAAGTCAAGGAAAAATGTCATTTCTATATGCATTTCTATAACTCATATATAAATACTCATATATAAATATTCCATGACTTTTTAAGTACATTTTAGTTTAAAACTCATATAAATTGTCTAATAAATAAGTATTATATTTGACTTGAAGCTCAAAAAAGCAGACGACTTGGACTTGACTTGGACTTATGAGCCAGTGATTCGAGACTCGACTTGGACTTTTCTGCATTTGACTTGGGACTTGACTCGAACTTGAGGTCAAAGATTTGAGACTTACTTGAGACTTGCAAAACAAAGACTTGGTCCCACCTCTGCTGCTTTCTGTCTTGGAATTCTGACATTGTTTAATCGGGTTTTGCATTAAAAGTATTTTTTACTTCAGCCTAAACCCTTTTGGTCATGATCCATGGGGTTGTACTCTATGTACTCTACTACTACTACTACTACTACTACTACTACTACTACTACTACTACTACTACTACTACTAAATTATCCAAATGATTCTAGTAAAGATGTATGGATGGAGCATTTCCTGTATTACCACATGACATCACAAGGTGGAACAGAGTGTTTTCTATTTTAGAGAAGAACTCTACTTAAATCTGCAGTGTTTGTGTGTTAAACGTGTGAATGAAACAAAACACAACTCCACAGAACGTCTTGTTTGTGACGAGGAAACAAGATTAGAGCACAGATCAGAAAGTAGCGTAATATGAGCCCTTTAAAAAACAAGCCATAGACACTTTAAAATCGTGTTGATTAAATTAAAATTGGATTGTCGGCGCAGGCTTACTTGCATCGCCGCTCTCAGTCTTCAGTCTTCTTTTGTGTGTGTGTGTCGGCTGTGCCCTTTATCTGAGGAGGAGACACATCATACTTTCTCCGTGCTCTGGCCCACTTTGTCTTGAGTTCAGAGCTAATGGAGGAATAAGTGTCCCTGTACAAGTCCTTGAGAGCTATAAACACGAGTCTGTGTTTGGGCTCTAACCCTGTAACCCACTCACACCGCTCCTAGCATGGACATTTCAGGAACAGGCAGTGCTACCTTTGAATACAGATATTGCTTTCAGCTCTTGACTGTTAGTACATTCTCAAGCATGTGTGAATGAAATAAAACACAGCTCCAGGTATTTTTTTGATGACGGAACAACATTATAACCTGGCACAAAGCTCACAAGAGTCAATTTTGTGTAATATAGGCTTTCAAAATTTAAAATTAGACCTGCAAAAACTCATCTTGATTACTAAAACTACTAATACTTCCAACTTTTACAATTTCCAGTTAAAATCCACTTTTCAAGAACAGGAACAAACAGTCACTGTTGGGCAAGTTACTTTAAAACTTTAATGTGTTATTTATTTTATGACTTAATTTGCTACATTACAATATTATTGCATTTAAAAT